AGATCCTGGTATCCTCATGCCAGTATAGCAAACATGAAAATGATCACGCCATCCACACACTGAAGGACAACAGGTGGCATGCTGCTTAATAGCATTATAAAAACCCATAAAATATACATTATTTATGTAATGGAAATACAATACCCATATATAAAATGAGCAAAACAAATACATACGGCTGGATTGCTTGTATTTCTTACACATAAATAGAGAACATATTTAGTATTTCACATTCATAGTACGTGATGTGAGGAACGCAGTTAGGTGGAAGCTAAACCCTCCCCATTCCTCACAGGCTCACAACAATCTACGATAGCACATCACAATGGTGAAAAGTGAACACTCCCATGTTACTGTCATTATAAAAACATCCAGCAAACATCCTGGAACCTTTACATTCATTGCTGAACCCTGCCTGTTTGCGCTAGTATATAGTGGATAATGATGGTAATAAGAACAGTAACATCAATGTAAGAGAGACGATTATCTATTGAAAAACAAATCCACACCCTATATTTCATCTCACACTTATTAAGTTCTCTAAAAAAACACCTAATTCAAAAGCCAGACCTGTGCAGGCAGGTAAAGAATTGGAGCTTCCAAGATAACACTCTAGGCCAGGGGTGCCCAACTCCATTCCTGGGGGGCCGGAGCCCTGTGTAGCTTAGGTCTTCCCCTGTTCCACCATAAATGATTCAGCTCAAGAGCTGTGTGGTAATTAGCACGAGTTGAATGTTAAAACTGTTAAAAGCGTAAAATACTCCCAGATCGTCACGTCTTATCAAGATATAAGATAGCACAGGTGTGTTAAATGAGGGGAAACCCCAAAAAAAAAAAAAGTTGGGCATCCCTGCTCTAAGCTCTTTTTTGACGATCTAATGCAAAAATAATATTTTTCTCATACTGATCCGTGTTCTCGAATTGATAATTCGTGCTCTCGAGTTAGTAATTTGTGCACTCAAATTGGTAATTAATTCAAGGGAAAGAATTACTAACTCCAGAACACAAATTAGTAACTCAAACGCACAAATTACCAATTCAAGAGAACAAATTAGTAACTCAAGCACATAAATTGATATTACGAGGGAACGAATTAGAAAATCGAGAGAACGAATTGCTAATGCGAATAACTAACTGAAGTGCACAAATTAGAAATTCAAGAGCATGAATTATCAATTTGAGAGCCCAAATTACCACGAGATAATTTTGTTTTTCACCGTGACACTTGAGCGGGTGTAAAATCATTTGCTATTTTGACGACGTGCGTGCATGGCAGCAGAGGATACAATGGCTGTACGACTCCCAAAACTTTATTTTACAAAGATTGCAAATCGCTGTGCTACTGGTTTCTGTTAAAAGGTTAAAATACTCCCAGACCGTCACGTCTTATCAAGATATAAGACAGATCAAGATATATCTATCTTACACCCTAGTACTGCGAAGGTTATGTGCATGACGTCACAGCAGGCGGAAGTAACTGTACTCACACCCACTGAGTGGCAAAAATGATTGAGGGGCAGCGATAGCGTTCGATTTGAATGCCGCAAAAAACACATGTAAAATGGGAAAGAGCTGTCGTGCGATTGATTGTACAAATACATTTAACACGAAATAGGAGCTGTCTTTTTAGAGATTGCCAAAAACTAAATAAGTAAGTATAGGACGTGGATCGGTCACGCATGGCCGATACCCGATCCGTCAAATAGGTCTGGATCGGCACCGATACTGATCCGAATATCGAATCAGTGCATCTCTAGTTTTTAGTAAACCTTTTGCTTTTCTATATGATTAAATTTTAAGGTCAAATTAATATTCTAATAGACTAGTAAAAAATAACAAATTTAGAATCTGACACCCAGAAACAAAAGCTGACACATAATCCTTGTGTAAATAGAGGTTTCACCTGCTAATATAACTAACCCTGAGCAGCACAAAACCTGACTGTGAAACTAAAGAAATAACCTCCTAAACAAACATGAAAAGTCACACGAGTTCATTCAGCCAGGGCAAACACACCTTCCCAGCAGTCAAGCCACTTCATAAGGAAGAATCACAGGAGCTGAGAAATGTCCTTCATGTATAGTAGGTATAGATATCATAATGAGGGTTAAGAATTACAAAAGCCCAGTTCTGTTTTACAAATAAACCAAGATATTCCGCCCCGTGGAATAATGGTTTTAATATTGTTGGTTTTCAGTTTTGCCAGGTTTAATAAAGTGCAATGGCAAGATAAAATGAGCATAAACATTTGATAATGATATACAAACATGTGTTAAAAAGGTCCAGGAAGTAAAAAACTAATGATACATTTTCCATATACATCTTACAAATACACCCAACCAAGTCAATAATGAATAATAACAAAAGGGGCATAATGGAGAAAAGGTGACGCTACATTGATACTTTGATGCACTGGTACCTCAAGAGTCAACATCAAATTTCACCATATTCCAGTCTGTACCTGCCATTTGTTGTTATTTTTGTAATAATTATCAGCTGGGAGGGGAAAAAAGGAGGAAAAAAGGAAGTCCCTTTGCAATACTTTTGCATGATATTTCAATACTTCTGCATTACCATTAGAGATATCAAAGCTATTGAAAGTCCTATTGATTTTATCATATATAAAACAGTTTTGATAGTCATTTTTTATGGTATCAATTCTGCAGCCTGCACTTCTGGGTCACTCTGACCCCTGAGGCTCACAGGCCACCAATGAGCACGTCTAGACCTGAGTGCAGTCTGACACATGGGGTGTGTGAGATGACTCGTTCAGAAGTATCCGAGCTTTCATCACTGCACTTAACCGACAAGTGCAGGAGTGGCATCTGGAAATACTTGCATACGTGCATTTTTCCTATGGGTAAAAACATTTATTGCAGTCAGTTAAACATTTCCACATTAAGAAAATGATCTGCAATTATTTTTACCTGTGGCTTGTGGTTTTCTAATACAATCTTGTGAGGTTGTGTTGATTAGTGATGATCATTCAGATACAAAGTTTTAGAGTCATGCAGTTGTTACAAGTTTTGGTGCTTTGAGATATAAGATAAAGAAGACATATGAAAATAATGTGCATCTATTCTATTATACATTGTAATGTTAATGTAAAGTAACCTCTAATTTTTAATAGTGTTTAATTATGTACTGTTTGTGAATATCTCTGAACAAGATAGCAGTGTGATTACAATGTGTACTACTGTACTTAATAAAATGCTTTGGCTGACAATGCGATGCAAAGTTTTTTCTTTTTAAAAATATACAATAGTGACATGAGTTTACAAAACTGATATTGAAATATATTTTTTCTTGAAATGCATAATATACCATTGAATATACCATTGAAAATGGAATCAAATTTCAATACTTTTCTTTGATACTTTTCTCGTATCAAAGTTTGAAATTTTGGTATGGTAACAAGACTCGATACCATTAATAACTGCACTTTGTCCATTCAAAGCACAAAGGGTAGGGTTAACTAAATGACACAAACCAGTCATGTCCAGTAAAGTGTGCTTTAAGCATTAGTTTGTAGGGGACAATGCACACAATTTAACTTTCAAATCATGTCATTTTTTACGGATTTATTCAAAATTGCAAAGAATCAATATTAAAGTATTCTGCAGATCCCTAAACACATGTTCAAGCTCAAATACCAGTCTCCAACACCACAGTAAAGTTAGCTTTATATCTACGTCTCCTGATGTAATATATTTCAACAAAAGCAACTAACATCCATTTGGTTTTCAAATTTTTTATGGGTAAATATTAATTAATATTTCTATATTTGCATGTGCGATAGTAACTTCTATTTACTACCAATTCCTTAGTTTAAAGTTACCCTAAGTTTTGGGTCAAATGAACAGAGGCCAGCAGCCTGGAAACCCTATTACCAGGACCACAAGTTTAACATCAAAACTTACCAAAGTCTTTTTTGCCTAATACATTTCACCTGCTAGTTCAGATGCAAACTAGTTCACTAAATAAAATTTAAACTTTTAGCTCCATGACTATTGCATGACAAGATTTGCACAGCTCTGAAACTTTTCTAAAAACCACCACACCTTGTTGCATTGCTTAAACAATAGCGGGAATCCAAATAAGCTGGGTGAAGCAATAAAACAAGAACACAACAGCTTAAAGAATCAAATCTTAAACTTTAGAGCAAACAATGGAAGATTTAGGCAGCAGGCAATTTAAGTGGTATGTCCTATATTTTCTACAAGCTATCAGCACATAGTTTTGACTGCAAACATTAACAGTCTCTCTCTCATTTGGAGATTGTAGTATTGGGTTTCACAATACAGCAGTCTGCAGGCTACTTCTACTAAGCAGGACAGTGAAAATGTAGCTGGAAATTAACTCTAAGAAATTGTAACCTTGAGAAGATAACAGTGGAGCTATGTTGCATTTCCATTCAGCCATGACCATTCATCTAATACAAGGTGAGAATTAACCTGAAGTCTATCCTGGGAAGCCTAAAACATGCATGGGGATACTGTGGACCAGATGCGAGTGCAACACAGGGCATGCACTCGCATACAATCACATACCATGGGAAACTAATGCAACAGGGTCAAACCTGTATGGTATGGGCTGGAACATGGAGCAGCTAGAGGAAACCCATGCAAACACATGGAGGACATGCAAACTCCGCACCCCAATGGGGGTGAGAATAGTGCCACCTACCTAGTACACAAATCTGGGAATTCACAGTGGTACTACTTCAATTATAGAAGACTAATGGATGTACAGATATTAGAAAGATGGACCCTAAACAACTTGTAAAACTCCAGGAGTTTATGTTTGCCTGCAACTCATGAGATAAGGCTGTCTCCGAAGTTCAAAAGGTCACTGCCTACTCCAAGTTTCTCCGAACATCATACAAAACAGAACTTCAAATGAAATGAGATGTAAGTTACACCACAAGCAGAATTTTTCGAATTTCAATACTGAACACAACTTGATGTTATTTCATTGAGGGCAGAGCTGAAATCACTTACCCGGGGGTCCTTGTAACTTGGCCTTCTTGACTGAAAAGAAAAAAAAAAAACATTGTTAGAAACACTGAGACAGTTTAAGAGACTAGTCAGGTCAGCTAATTAAAGTAACATGCAGGTATAACAAACTGGAAAGAAGCACCTGGAATCACCCCACAACTTGTCCAATAAATATGTCAATATTACTAACCCCCCCCCCTCATTAAGTGCCAAAGTCAATCTATAAAATTATATAATATTTACTACTGCAGAAAATCAGCTGAGCACCTTTGGGGTTGAAGAACTTCTCTTAAGACATGGATTCTGTTCAAACCTGTGTGTACTGTAACAGAACTGCAGAAATGACATACGGTGTATGTGTAATGCAGCCTATGTTCAAACTATAATCTGCTCAAGATAACAAAACAAATGCAATAAAAAGCAATAGAACAGTACGACAGGGAAGCAGATTTAATTGGCAAGGAAAATTCTTGGCATGGTACACTGTAAAAACTACAGTTCCAGAACACTCTTAATGTTTTCCTTATTCCGTAGTGCCTTAAAAGTCTAGAATTCAGATCTCAATTGAATTAGTTTCCATATCTATTAATTTATTAACACTCACTCACTGGTATTATTTGAAGTTGGAATTCTGATGTGTATCTGGTCTTTCAAGTGTCAGACGGCAGGAAGCAATTTTCAAACCTATTATTACCATTTTAAGTTCCAGCTGACCCATGGTAACAAGATTCCCTGAGAGTGTGAGGATCTTTAAGGCCTCAGTCATTCCATGATTTAGCCACACGTTACATCACACAGCTTTTTACTAAGGCAACACTGTTAGGCGTGTGAAGTGCCAAAATAAACAGGGAAGAGAGGGAGAAGATGCAACGGCACGAAGGAAAACCATTTCCCATAATAAAACAGCTCATGTAGCCCATACTGGCAGGTGTGAGGAAATATAGGCTCTGAAACTGAGATTAGAAGAAATTCTGAACATGTTGGAAAGAAGATGATCAGACAGCCACAGACATTTTCACACCATTCGTGGCTGGATTACTTCTGCCAAAGGGATCATATTTTGCTGTAAAAAGCCTTTTTTGTGTGGTCATATCACAATATTCTTGGTTAGAATCATGATCCATGATATAAATTTTTTGTTTGTTTACAAATCAACTAAATTGGAATGTATGTAGTAGTGTTAATTGACTATTTAACCACTTAACCAGGAACTTTGTCCTTAGAAGAAATACTACTTGTAGCATTACAATAATAAAGTTCATTATTTAGGTGTATAAAATACTGTACATATAAATTAAACTGACTCATTATAGCAAAGGTGCTTTTTAAAGTTTTTTAATAATACAATGTTATGACTACAAATTAACATTTATCTGTTGGGTTAATAACTGAAGTTCTTAAGTTTACAACAAATAATAGATAAAATTAGTTATGTTGCCGCCTGTATCTTTGCAATGTCTGTAAATTACAGTATTTTGGTCCATGTCGGACTTTGCAAATCCAAACCATCTCCACACAATCAAAGTAGAACCCCTTTTGGAACCAATCCTTATCCATAAGCTATGCTGCACACTGTTTATTCAACAGCGTAGCCAACCAGTTTACGGGCCGCGCGTTGTCATGAGGACATACTGTAAGTAACAACCCGATGGTATATGAAGTTTTTTTTTGTTTCCAAATTAGCTAAATGGCTAGAAAAGATCAGTTAATTTTCAGTTCAAGATCTATTTACCAAGTTGAGATTCACTGAGAAGGACAACCGATAAAAAAACACGACATACAGACAGAACTGAGATGTTATGCAGGCTGAAATTGCTCTGATTCATATTGGTCTGCTTTTGTTGTAGTACTATTGCAGCCTCCGAACATGCAAGCATCACATCATGGGCGTCTGCTGGTTTGTTCTGTCATTGTAATATAAGTGTTAAGTAGTACTTTTGTAACTGGGTATTCATTAGAAGCTCAGCCTACTCAGCTGGCATTTCAACATTTATTCACAAGTGAATCAACATCATGGATTAAGGCTGAATCATGATTGGAAAAACAAATCAGTGTTGATATTGCAGCATTGTTTCATCTTACTTTTTAACATGGGTGAAGTTCAACCAACAACCTGCCACTAATGTGACAGTATCAATGTGTATGTATTTTATTTCTTCAAACAATCCAGCAAGTTTCTTAGGAAGGAAGTCATGGAGATTATATTTGGATTTTTATTAAAGAGTACTCCCAATGAGTTGCATCATTGTGCAAATTATGAGAGAAAATATTTGTTATTGAATTATAGTCAGGGATGCACATAACTGGTATGAAAGTATGCATTCACCTTTAACAATGACATGCGTGGCAATCAATCGTTGTAACAGTGCAAGCGCGTAGCTATTTCATGCGCATTTGTGTTGATATGACAATAAATGACTGCATTTTAACCTTTAAATGCCAATTCGTATTTCACTTGCAATATAAAGGTTATAATGCATGGTAATTTTTTATCAGTGCAAATGCACATAAAATAAGTATACATTTGCATTGTTACAATGCGCTGGTACAGTATGTATTGATTTCATACTAGTTATATAAGTCAAACAAGTGTGATTTATATTGCGACAAGCTAACTTCTTTTACTACTTCAATTTGAGAAGCAAGATTAAGAGCAATGGTAGCCTGTTTTAAAGGAGCAGTTCAGCCCAAAACTGAATAAAGATATGGGTTAGAGGGCTTTAGTGCTAGCTATCCATCTAGATTGTTCTGCTGGGAGATGCCTTGTTTTGAAGATATCAGCCATAGAAATGTCAGTCTCCTCTCGAATATAATGGGAGTGAATGACATTCTTTCAGTGGTAAAGCGTCAGAAAAACACATTTGAAAAATTCAGAAATTTTAATTTCTGAAGTGGTCTTATGATCAAAACATAATAAAAATGCTAATAAAATATAATGATCATAATAATTTAAAAGGCAGAAATGTATATGTCGTTGAAGACATTAGGTCGATTGAAATTCATCTTGTTACAACTTCAACATTAATTTATACATATTTTATTGACCTTTGTACAACCATTAGCATTAAACATCGTTTCAATGTTTTTTCAACAACTGATATTTCAACTACATTTCAGCTTTGACGGGCGGTCACGTGCCGTCTGGGTAGCCTCCCCTCTCGACAGCACCCATGGTTGAATATGTAAATGTAGCGCTGTATCGTGGTAGATCACTCTGAAAGGCTTATCATGGATACATTTACAACCTGTCGTGATAAATTATCGTCATATGGCCTACCAGTAGTGTGCACTTATGTCCACATTTTTTTAAAGGATGGAATACTTTCCGTATGAGTGCTTGTGATGTTCATGTGTAAAATATAAAAAAACCAACAACAGCAATAATAATAATAATAATAATTTCAGGAATTCATCAGCACTTCTCCGATTCTATACTGAAAATCACCAAAATTAAGCAACTTTTGTACTTATTATACAAATGCAGGTATGAAAAGACATTTAATAAACAGCTAGAAAGATGCAATTAGTGGGCGTGGGGACGTTCTCCATGTGTTCCATATGAAAGAACAGTTGCCAAAACGCTGCTTCCAGCAGTCAGGACAGTTCATTTCAGTGCCCACCCTATCTAAGATAAGATATTATATGTGCATATTAATGTACGTGATACCCAAAGAATCTCCTGTACTAGTAAACACCAAAAACTGCTATAACTGCATACCCAGCAGCTCTGACTTTAACAAGGCAAGAGCCCCTCCGGAAATAATAGGATGCATCTCAGAGGGTCACAATCTGATCCGAGTCTAATGACCCATCATGTCAAAAAGCTATGCCCTCCAACACTCAAAAATGGCTCTGTGATGACAGCCAGTACCAAGCCTCAACCCCAGAGTACCCTGTAGAATGTCTATGGGGAGCAGCAGAGAAAAGTGCTTTTACGGAATCGTCTGATAAACCATCCAATGAGTTTTCAGTATCCTAACCTTTGTACCGGCCAGTCTTATAAAAGGTTTCAGTATTCAGTATTAAATTGGAGACAAAAATCCTAATACACACTTACATGAAAGAGTCATGCACACCAATTCCTGCTTATTTAAACACAAACAGCAGTACCGATATATTTTTTCCTTAAGCTTTCTGGAAAAAAGACAAAAACACATTCCTGGCAAGATAAACTAGAGAGTGGAAAAAGGAACACGAAAGCAAATCTGGCTGTGGCAGGAAGGAAGCACTGCTGACATGTAGCTTTGCAGATGGAAAAAGGGAAAGAAAATAGAAAACAAAGCAAGGAAAGAAGGCAAATCTGTTCAAAGACAGAACATTCAGTATCACTCCAGCAGGAACCAAGAGAAGTTCACCACACATTTTAGGGACATAGAAAAGAGACCTGGCCACTATATATACTGTATATACACACACATACACACAACAAAAGCATTAGTGTGACAATCATCAGGATAATTGGAACAAATACTGAAATACACATAAACATGCATACATAAGGCCCGCAAAAACAAAAATTATTTTGATGATTGATTAATCAAGTGATCAGGTGTCTAGGTGACTTTAGGTGGGTCAAAACACAGAGTTTAAAAGGGCCCTATTATGCTCTGTAAATCGTCTTCATTTTCAAATACCATAATGTTTATTTTTGTATATATACACATACATACAAAAACAAACATTATGGTATTTGAAAATGAAGACATTTTCAGAATCCCAAACCGTTTTAAATGACATAAATTCGTGAATCAGAACAGTACTGCAATGCTTAAACACACTCCAGGCAAACCACGCCTATGAATTCTGTTTTCTGTTTTTCATATCCGCTCCCAATCCACCACACTCCTAATATCACTCCGTCTTTAGCTGATAATCCTCACTTAGCAGCTGCTGATGTAAAGGGCAGACAGCCGAGGGTCACATCTGTAGGCCAGCACTAAAAACCGCACATGGACTCTGACGTCCATTACTTGCCAACAGCTCTATGAGATGAGAATTAAATTCTTCCAGCAGAAAGAAGTGAATGTAATGAT